GAAGGGAGAGAAACTTCGCCTGAAATGAAAGGCAAGCAGAAAATAATTAGTTTTTTTTTTCTTGCACGAGAGGAAACGATACGTCGCAAATGAGGAGAAATTGAGGAAAATTTTGTTTGCAAACGAAAAGAAGGACAGAAACTGAAATAAAGAAATGAAAAGGAGTGATAGTACAGCTCCATTCCTCTCCTTTCTAGTTCTATGGTATGTAAGTTCAGGTTTCCTTAACTGAATCTCCTGGTTTCTCCCTTCGTAGTTATAGTTACACATATATTATGCTGTATATACTCTCATTGCCTCTGTCTATGCTCACATATCCAAATGAAGTAAACGCAGGCTGAGATTCTCTCTCTCACTTCTGAACACGAATGTCTAGTATAGCTTTCAACCCCCCGCGGCTGCGCTGTGCAAGGTATCTGCAACTCTGATAATATCTATAATTTTGTATAATACGAAAGAAAACAATATATTCTATACAATAATATGTATAATATATAATACTACGCCGTTTGTTGCAGTGTAGTGGCTGCTTGTATGCATGCATTCATTTGTGTATTTTTGTTGACGCTGGGTCAGAAGATGTTTCAAGTAACCTCTTCTTATACGGTGTAATACAAAAAACTATTTATTCTCAACTGCAGCACGAACTATACACCCTCAGCCCCGCAAAGCTAGCAGCAGTAACAGAGGTAGTAGCACCAGCCACATTACCATATGAAAACAAAAAAAAAGTTTAAAGAGCGAGACTGAACGGAGCAGCTCACGCCTCTCCTCTCTCAGCCCATCGCCATCGCATGCAGCGAGAAAACATGAAGGGGGAAAAATAACCCCCCTCGTAGACCCGCATGCATAGAGATACTAAAACGTTCACTTTGTCAGCCAACTGCAAAAAAGAATAGCAGCAGCACTGCCGCACAGAAGCGACAGCAATGCAGCACGTCAACAGCTGCAATACAACGGGTTTATATAAGTTCCTATGCAGCATCTGAGCAGCTGCTGCAACTCAGCACATCAACAAGCGCAATATATATATATNATATATATATATATATATATATATATATATATATATATATATATATATATATATATATATATATCAGCAGTTGCAATGCAGCACATCAGCAGCCACAATGCAGGAGAACAGCAGCCGCACTGCAGCATATAAGCAGCAGCAATGCAGCAGCATATCAGCGGATACACTGCAGCATATCGACGGGCACAAAGGGGTAGTGGTACTGCGTTGTTCTTGCAGTATATTATATGCAGCTTTTCGCGTCAAGGGCTGCTGCTGAAGCAGCAAGTCTGAGGCGTTGCTCAGATACCCTGGATAACGACCAAGTGCAGATACAAAGAAAACTAAAGAAAGAAAGAGAGATCTGCAACCCCCAGATGATGCTGCATCATCAGCAGGGAAAGACATTGCCATTTACCCTCACGACCGCGATGGGCTTCATCCCTCCAACGTATACGAACTCAAGCTTCATGCTTCACGCTCTATCATCCAGGCTTCATGCATCCCCAGCAGGAGCTGCTGGCGGTGCTGCCGCTGGTAGTGTTGCCACTGATGCTGTTACTGTTGGCTGCTGCATGGCTGACTCGTGCAGCCGCTGTAGAAGGGCGTGCATATCGATGTGCTTCGGGGCCCGCGGGGCATCCGCATTCTTTCGATTGACTTTCTGTCTTCTTCTATCAAGGTAGAAGCCCACGCTGGTCTGCGGAAACCGATGCTCCGCTGAGACAGCTGGGGGGCCATGACTGCGGCTGCTGGTCAGCTCGTGCCGTCTGAAGAATGAGGGAAGGGGAAAGGAGGTGTGAAAGGCCTCATGAGGGGCCCCTGGGGCCATGAGGTTGAGAAAGAAAAGCAGAGCCAAGATCCTCATGTTTCCGCTTCATCTAACTGCCGTTTCCGTCAGACAGGAAATTCAGCTGACGTGGAAAACGCACAAGATCAGTGCCAAAAGGGAGGCAATCCGCAATGTTTTCTGAACAAATTCACCAAAAAGAAGAATTATATTCTACTTTATTGAACAATTTTTCCTCAAGGTAAAGCTCAGCTGCAGGAAACGCCGGCGCCTCTCCCAGCGACAGAATGGTCTCAATACAGCCTGCCGTGCAAGACGCAGGGCAAAGAGGCAAAGTGCAGAGAAAGTCAAATAAATGTTTCAATAGTACTCAATACTCACCTTATAGAAAATAAAATGTTGAAGAACACCCGAAAAAACATTCAAACGGAACGCATCTCTCACCCCCGATTCACAACGGCCTCGTGTTGGTGTTGGTGGACCCAGCGCGCCACTGTCCTGACCCACTGGGCATACACCCCAGAATTACGCGAGACAAAGCAGGCTTTGTAAGATCATAATATTATTATATTTGATGTAATTCCACAGGAATTGACCCATAAGAATATTAACTACGTTAAAAGCAGCAGACGCTCGCCCGGGGAACCGGGCGGGGGAGCCGAGTATGTTTATCCAATTTCCTCTGCTCCTTTTCCCTTTGCTAAGCCATCCAAAGTTTGCAAGCTTTAGATTACTTTAAATTACTTCAGTAATACCACCCGTCCCACTGATTATATCGCCGTACACCGGGACATGCTGCACCTACGTTGTCCTTTGCGTGTGTCAGCTGAGTATCCACAGCTTAGCCGAGGTATCGTTATTAAATGTATGCTTCCCGCTTGCTTAACCAGAATATATGCAATAAATAACTCCAGCATTTATATTTTTATGCCTTGCTCAGGTGTATCCACTGGGGCATTCACGATACTGTCACACTGAGGATCCTTCATGGTTCCCACCCCATCTGAGGCGGTGAGGTGCTGCAGCCGCGTGCTGTGCGCGAATTGTATACATTTTGTCTAGCCATATAACCTGTTAAAATAATAAAGAATAAGAGAACACTGGGGGCTTGTGTTTTTGCTAGAACTTGCACAGCGTGCGAACTCTCTGTATCCCACCCACCGCTGGGGGACGGAGAGATGCATCCTACTTCAGCATCTTGTTTCTTATTCCTGATTTCATTTAGTTAATGTATGCGTTTTCCTGCCCATATCCTTGTTTTGATGCTTCTTCAGCCTCACGCAGAGGCAGCTGGTCTCACCGGAATTGCTGTGTTTCTCTCTACCGTTCAGTGTTTCCTAATATGTTTGAATGCCCCCAAACTATGCACGCAATAACGAGTTTCTGCTAGTTACGGTGTAACTCCTAGATCGCTTACCCCTCTAGCCAGACCCGCCTAGTGAAAGATACGACGCGACAGCAGATGCCAGCGGGCAAACGCAGCGTTCAAAACAGCGCATACGTTCCTTTTGCAACACTCAGGGTAACATAATTCAAGACTGTAGCTGCGTAAACAGATATAAAAAACGAAATTAGTCAGAGGAAACAACGAAGAGAGCAAGGAATCTCCCTCGTCGCAAGGGTCTGCGACTCTCTTCTTTACACTTCAGTAGCAACACAACCACCAGCCTGAACTGCAGGTCACCCAATAGCAACCAGCAACAGATACAGGAGTAAGACGCAACAGTTAGATATGAAGCAAGAGGAACCGATGGAGCTGCAGAAACAACACATACTACAACAGTTGCAAGCGAGGCTGGAGTGTCTACCAACGTCCACACATTTCGTGCTGGGCGACCATGTGCTCAAGGGCGTGCGCCGCCTGGGGAAGAGGGGAGGGGGGTTCACAGGTACTATGCTCTGTCTCAATTGGAGCATGCATATCTATGTGCGTCTTCACGCGGGCTACTGACTCCACGGAAGTGCTCAACTATTCTGCATAGCCTCAGTGTTTCCACTAAGGTGGTGTTTCGGTACACTTGCATGCGGGTTTCCTTAGCAGCAAGAGTTGCAACACGGCGCGTTTCAGCTCATCGCCTGCTTTTATCTGCCTTGTGAACCTTCCGGCGCTGCCGACAGTAGCTAGGGTAAGCGAGCGTAGGTAAGTGCCGTCGTGAGCTGCAATTGAGTCAAGAGAGTTCAGAAAAGGGTTACCAAAGCAGTTGAAGTCCTATCCAGTCCCTAGACATCCTGGGCGCACGGGTATCTCGTCAGCCTACCATGAGCTGCAGTGCACCTTGCTGGAAGTAGTGCTAAGAGGCAACCCCACAAGCAAACACAGCTGAGCCCCCTCTTTCTGCACGCCATAACACTCTGAACAATTGCTGAGAGCTTTCATGACCGTTTGTACGGAGTCGCGCGAGCAGAAATACATGTTTCACGTTCAGAATGACGGAGCTGCTGCTCCAGGGTTTTGAATTGCTGTATCCAGGACGTCTGTATACTGAAAGGAACGTCAGCTCTACATATTTTGCGATAACTCTTATGTTGAGTGATGCAGTGTAACTGCAGCTCGCGTTGGTCCTCTCCTAAAATCGACGACCGTCATTGCTTGCCATGCTAGCTCTCAATGGGTGCTTCTTTGTGGAACATAGGCGCATCCAATCGACTGTGGGAAGCTGACCTAGCTGTCTATATAAATGTAATAAGCAATTTAAATTAAAAAATAAATGTGCAAGAATAGAGGGATTTCCCTCATGCGCAGGCCGCTTGCCTTGGTCGGTCCAGCCCCAGGCGCTAGGCTCGTGCCTTGTTGGCAGTGTACCAATGAGGTGTGTGTATATAGTTAGTCACTATAAGATAAACTTCGGTCATAATTTTCCTTTTTACTGGGATTCCTGGCTTTCCTCTCCAAGCTGCTGGCTGTCGTTAGTGTCGTGTACTACGCTGCACTGCAGCCTTTCGGATGGATCGCGCATGCCACCAAAGATATCCAGCAAATACTGGGAAAGCAATTAACCCACGTCGTGCCTCCAAAAGATTCATAATCGTAGTGATACGCATTGGGGGAGATCACCGTGCGATGAGGACTGACAACGGAAGTACCTGAAAGTGCGCGCGGCATTTATATGCACCACTGCGCCTCCTGTTTTCTGCAGTTCCATCCCAAGGGGGTGAAAGGGGGCCTATATTATTGCTCCTTCGGTGACCTTGGTCAGCAACTGCTCACTGACTCTTTACTTCTGCAGGCTACATCGTTCAGAGGCATAGGCTGCCCGCGAGATACGCTGGTTGAAACCACTGCTACCTCCTCTGTACTGTTTGCCACAAACATGCGCCTTCTAGCTTCGATAAGGTGCTTCTTGGTTTAAGTAAGTCGGCTAATAGCTGTTAACACTCCTTCGCGGTGCACATGGCGCTGGAGGCGATCAGTTGGAGTGCTGAACTGCACTGCACCGGACAATTTCATACTGCATTTTGTTCTCCTACGAGCACGTGCCTCAATGTTTTGACTGTTTGCAGGCGACAGTGGCATTCTTTCTAGTGTACATTTGTGGGGGTAGATGCTGTTCAACGCACAGAACATGAGGCGCCATAGGATATCGCGAGGTGGTGATTAANTTTGTGGGGGTAGATGCTGTTCAACGCACAGAACATGAGGCGCCATAGGATATCGCGAGGTGGTGATTAAGAAGAGTTGGAACGGGGGATGAAGCAGTAGACGTTTTCGTTGTTTTCCCAACATATCATCTGAACTGCCATAATATATTTAGACAAAATGGGGATAGGGCGGTTTTATCGGTGGCTTTCTGAGCGCTACCCGCTCATCAACGAAAAGATTGGCGCCTCGTCAATCCCCACATTCGATAACTTATACCTCGACTTGAATGGAATCCTTCACAATTGCAGCCATGGAAATTCAGGAAAGTATCTGCACCCACAGACGAAGGAAACAACCCTCTTGCTTGTCTTGAAGCAACAGTTTCGCTTCTCCGCACTTTTTTTTTTGGCTTCTTTGTTTTTTTGGTTAACGTTCATGGGGCCTTCGTTGTTTATCTAGCTTGTTTTCAGGGGGAATGCTCCATGCAAACGAAGATCTGATGTGGCAGTCTGTTTTTGCTGCCCTGGATCTCGTGGTTTCAACAATTTCGCCTCGCAAACTTCTGTACTTGGCGGCTGATGGGGTTGCACCCCGTGCCAAGATGAATCAACAGGTACAGTGTGGCTTGAACACAGCTGGCTAACTANTGATGGGGTTGCACCCCGTGCCAAGATGAATCAACAGGTACAGTGTGGCTTGAACACAGCTGGCTAACTAACTGTTTTTGTTCGGCGCATCGCGGCATATTTCTTGAAGGTGACTGCATTTTTGTGGCGTTGTAACTGGTTTTTGTTGCGGTGTCCCAGCGTGTTCGTCGCTACAGAGCCGCGAAAAGTGCACAAGAGGCGGCTGAAGCGCAGGCGAAGCAGAGCCGCGCGACGGCAAATGTATTTCAAATAGCACCTCAGGGACCGGAGGAGCAGGGGTCCAGCGCTTCAAATCAAGCAGTAGGTTCAGCTGGAAAATCGTTCGACAGTAATTGTATTTCGCCGGGGACAGAGTTCATGGCCTCATTCTTTCGTCACCTTCGTTTCTACTGCGAAAAAAAATTCCAAGAAGATGCGAGGTGGAGGGGCTTGAAAGTGCTTCTGTCGGGTCCGGATGTCCCGGGTAAGTGTTTGTTCAAATTTGCTCGGTGTATGCTACCATGTTAAGTGTATCATTTAGATGTGCGATTCGGGCGCTTCTAATATCCAAGCAAACATCCACAAAGGGTCGTGGTTTACGGTGGTATTCCGCAGCTTCGTACAGCTAGACTGGGTTTACGGGTCTATATACTTAGAATTTAAAAAAAAGACGACAAAGTCGCGAAACTAGCATTCGTTCAAATCGCGCTCCCTAGCGTGGCGTTGTCAACATACACTGCTGCCTTCGTTCTTGTACAGCGAAGGAAAAACTTCATCGGAATGTTCTTTCACATGACGGGGCTGTTGGTGGTATTGTGATTTCGATCAGGGGAAGGGGAGCACAAAATTATGGCGTACCTACGATGCTGTAAGGCCGCTGGAAGTGCTGACCCCAACACGCGGCATTGCCTGTACGGCCTTGACGCAGATTTGATCATGTTATGTAAGTAGTATGTTCCCCCGTGCCCTTCAAGCCAAGTTGCTGGCGGTATATAGGCGTACAGACGAAACCTGATCCAGCGAACTCGTGACCAGTGGCTCTGTCTCGTCTTGCTTGCGGTTGTTGTACGCATTTACAGCCCTTGCGTCCCACGAGCCGCAGTTTGCGTTGCTGAGGGAAGAAGTCGTCTTTGGCCGCCCCAGTACAATCGACGCGAACGATAAGGTTCGTTCCGTGTGGTCTTACCTCCACCACGAGGGATTTTTCACCTTCACTTTCTGGATGGTTTAGAGGTTTGACGAAACCCCTTCAAAAACGGTAGATAGGAGTAGCTTTGTTTTTGTAG